AACTGCAAAAATTCGAAAGTGGTAAATGTACGACACAGAATCGTTTGGTTGAGACTCTCGGAGGGTGAACATGGTTTCCCCTTTCTCGGAAGGTCTCGGTGGTTTGATGTTGGACTACCGAGTCTCTATAACGTCTAACACTCCATTGGAATGCTTTGAACGACTTTAAGCGTGTGCCAGAGGGCACGAATCTCTGTTTCGTCTACCGACGGAAGTTGATCACAGCCAGCTGCGCATGATTAGAATCAGGTCGCACCATGAGGTTTTGAGATATGACTTACTCTGCTGTTAGCTCCATAGGCGAGCCGTTGTCCGTCGGCATCCCAGCACAGACAGTGCTCATCCTCGTCCTCCGGCTCCGAGCTCGCCTTGGGACTGAGCCATCCGGGATGTGGCGATCTGCTCCAGCTCGCCCTTGGCATCGTGTGCTGCTCGCCAACCTTCCAGATCAGAATGCGACCGGCCGTGGCTCCGGCGATGAAAGCGCCATCTGGTGTGAATGCAATCGATACAATGGGCGATTCCATGGTCAGAATAGACTTTGGTTTTCCAGGCTCAGGGTCCTTGGCGTTGGAGATGATAATGGCGCAATCGTCGCCTCCAGATGCGACCAATCGTTCGTCTTCCGGCACGACGGCATCATCCGGGAGAGGCTGCCACTGTACCGCCGTGATCGCCCCAGAGTGGGCCGTTATTGACCGGCGGTGACCATCTTCGTCCCAAAGCTACAAGGTTGAGTCAGCTGAACTTTCATGGCACAGGCGTTTCGGGACACTTACATCCAGGATGCCCTTGTCGCTCGCGGTAGCGGAAAGTTTTGATCGCCGGTCGTAGACAACCTGAGTAAATGTGTCGTCCCCTCGGCTCTCCAATTTCTTGTTCGGCACGATGGCCGTCTCCGTGCACTTTAGTGACAGCATGACATCTCCGCCGGTAAGGAGGAACTCTGTTTCGCTGGTCCACGCAGCATCCAGTGGCCAGCTGAGCAAGTCGTGATTCGGCAGGAAATAGGACAGTGTGTTGGACGTCAGGGAGTGATAGACAGTGACCAGAGCGCCGCCGGGTCCATTTGCGTTGCTGTTATCGGGCGCAATGGCGAGAAGGGCTGCATCGCTCGGGCTCCAACGGAGCTTGATCACGGGAGGGTCTGAGACGTCGAACTTGTCGACATGAGAACCGTCCTTTGCCCAGATGTGAACCGATGCCCTGTCGCCATGTTCGATGGCGATGGCAATGGCCGTTCCCCTACTATTCCAAGCAAGTTGACCTACTGTGGCTGTCTTGGGAGTCTCGTCGTCGATGAGACTATGAAACGGGCGATGTACACCATGCACGTGACCGTCGGGTTCGGGAGCTGGAGTGGGCGTCATTGTGCTTGAACGTGAGATGGTCCAAATTCGGGCTAGCGCATCGGTTCCAGCAGCCGCCAAGATTGATGGGTCCTTTGGGTTCCACTCGCAGCGCAACAGAATGGGTGCGTTTTCACCGTTGGCTGGCGAGGGCGAAGCTCCAGGGCCGCCTGCGCTTGCAGCAGTGGTAGTCAAAGTCGTCGGGGCGCCGCCGTCGCCAGCGTTGTTGGTGGCACCGGCGCTGGAGTTGCCGTCATCGGGCATTAATCGTAGAAATGTCGTCTCCGTGGCCAATTCCTCAACTTTGTCGACTTGCGTGCCCTGCTCGGGGCCATCTGTTCTCGGGGTGGGCGTCGGAGCTTGCTCGCCTTCGAGAGGCGACGGATAGGCATGGTTGTTGTCGCCATGGCTGTCTAGCTCCATGGGGTCCGTGGCCGCATCCGCCCCGTTCGTGCTCTCATACCCATTGCTCAGCCTGGGCCGCTTGCTGGGTGAGCCGCCATTCACCATGTGCTGCTGTTGTGGCCGGCTGTCAAATTGGCGTTTCCGAGTGTTTTCGACCTCCATCTCTGTGTCGTCCACCTCGCCATCTGCGTCCTCATCCTCCTCAATTTTTTGAGGCGGTTGAGCGATCAATGGCCCAAACAACCCCAGCTGCAGTGCTTCGGCCGCAGCCGCAGCATCTGAAGGCACCTGCACGCGCAGAGAAAACGTTAGTTTGCCAGAGTTCGCACATTTTCCACACACCCACCCGTCCGTCTCGCCGCCGACTCGGGGTGCACCGGTTGCTTATGACGCGGAAGGGAAGGTGGGAAGGACAGCCGAGTGGAGCACAATGCCTTACCAATTTCTTCGCATGCTCTCTCTCGAGGGCATGGTAGCAGAGGCCTTTGTTGATGACGGACACCAAAGCGTGGCTCTTGACGTGATTTGCGAAGTCAAAATGGCGATGAGGTTGCTGAATGTGCCATTCTTTCTGGAATTTGGCTGCGGTCTCTCGGTAGTCTGCAATCGTCAGAAAAAAAGCCCGTGGCCCCCACCAGCTGTCGCTGGCTGTGCCCAGACGGTTGGTTGTCACGTACTGCCTTCCAAGAGATACCTGAGAGAGGAGAGTCAAAGTCAGCAGGTCAGCGATAGCATGAGGGCGCGAGACCATCCGTCGAGAAGCGATTCATGAGAGGGCAAAGGCAGAGGGCGTGAGATGAGTGAGGCGCGATTGTGCGTGGAGGTGCGGCGGGCGGGAGTGGGTGAGACGCAAAAAGGGTGAACTCACCTCCAGACGAGAAAGTTGACTCTGTCCGAGTCGAGGTACTCCTTGGTGACCATGCCGCTCGGCGCCGCTGTGGGCGGCGTAATTGAAAGGGGGTTCTTTAAGAGATTTCGATGGGGGACTCGATGAGAGCCTTCGTGGGCGCGTTTTGCTGGCGTCGTCGGTCGAGGGGGAAGCGATTTTTTGCAGTCGTCGATTCAAGATGAGGAAAGATTGAAGATTGAGGAAGCCCGCAAGAGTGGATGAAATGGAAGGATGGGCGAATCTGAATCTGGCGGTACGTAGCCTACGTACCTTGTTTAGGCGAGACCAGGCGTGAGGCGTGGCGCTAGCGCCAGCAGCCCAGTTGGATTCAATGGCGGGCACTGACTGGACTAGCGACTAAGGTAGGGGACTGCCTATGACTGACCGGGGGTGCCAGCACTGCAGCAAAGAGGAGGATGGATGGAATGGATCGAGGACGAGGAAGAGGAGAGACACCTGGACAAGATTCAAGAGAAGGAGAGAGAGAAGGGGAGCGACCTGACTGGCCTGGCACTTTGCGACTGCGACTAAGGTACGGAGTACATCTTTGATCTGGGACTTGGGACTGGGGCATGACGGGATGAGCACGATACGCTTTTCCTCGCTCTCTGCGTCGCGGCTTCGCGGCGTTGCCTCCGCATTGCTTGCACTCACTGTCCCGTCTTTAGCTGCCACCTGCGCAGCATCATTTGACGGATGGAAGCCGAAATGCGCGTGGAACTGGCAGTGGCATACTGGCTACTACTACCCAAACGTACCATACACCACGGTAGAGTACGGATACCTACACTACCAAATCCATACCATAACTCACTAGCTGATGCACTCACCCCATAAACTTACCTGCCTACCGCCGTCCCGTCGATCACCAGCAGCTTTCTTTTCTCTGCTCAAGGTGCCGTACGGTTGCCCTCGACACTACCGCGACCACCAACGACCCGATGTATGCCTCCGTCCCCATCGGTGCAGCGGCACGACGATGCAGTTGCAGGCGGCGCACGCACACACACACACACATTTGCACACACATACGCACACACACCTGTCGCAGTCGGATCAGGAGCAGCAGGGAACTCGCCAGATGGGGGTGGTAGGGGAGAAGGAAAGGAAGAAGGGAAAGGGACCAGCCTGAGGCCCCGGACCCTGGTCGAGGCTTTGCAAGTCCCAGGCAATGGAAAGACTGATGAACGCAAATGCCAGCATCAACCAAGACACACGAAATCTTTGGAGACTTTTCACACGTCTGGGCTTGCCATCAACTGGGACGGGAAGCTGGAGGAACAAGCATACATACCTTACTGCGTCCCTACCCACGAAAGGTACGTACCGTACTTGTCGGGCGGGTGTGGAGCCGGCTCCAAGGCCCCAAAGTGCATGATCCAAGGTACTTAACCTTCAGCGTACCTCTTGGACCGTTCCTCGAAATCACTAGCCAGTCAGCGATCCCATTGAGAAATCTGGGCCAGCCGCTAGGTACGACGACCACGACAATGACGAGACGGCAGGCAGTCTCTTTGACTTACCCCGTTGTTCACTAGGTATGTGTTCCCATGTTTCGGAGCGCGGTTCTCTCGACTAGAATTGAAGAACGAAAAACTTGCTGCAGTGCCGGGCAGAAGGAAACGACGACTCGAGGGGTACCTTCTTCCACCACTGAGATCAGGGGAGGTCCCAGAGAGAATTGTGTCTGGGGAGTGGGAGGCAGAAGGGGCGGGCAGCCTTCGAGAAAACGATAATTCTCTGCTAATCCCGTGGTCCCCCGTCCATCAATTTGTTGTTGTGGTCCATCGAACTTGGGGTTTGGTGTTTGGGGCTGCTACTCAAGACAGGGTTCCCGGGAGAGCCACATTTCGGGGCACTTTGAAGGTGGTCCTGACACCCCCAAGTCGCAATGCCGCCCCTTGCGCTTTGTCCCAAGTACCGTCTCATACTCGCGCATACGTAAAAGTACATTTACCTCTCTATCTTATTTTTTGCCCTATTTCCCTGTCTCGTGCCTTGCCTTCCAGGCCTGGGGGCCCAGCCGGCTGTGCGTGCTTTTTTTTTTTCTCGATCTCGAGAGGTACAACTACGGAGTACGGAGTAACGGGAGTACATACATAATGCGTCGCTCGCTTCTCGCTAGGCTTCTCCATGCTGTTGTGCAATGTGAGCACCGGGGATGGATCCTCCTACCTGGCACACTCCCATCCAAAATAGCACCGGCACGACTGGGTATCAAAAGTGCGCGATTGCGCTCAATCTCTTGCTCAGTGTGTGTCGATCTCTAGTCGTCTAGCTGACTACGGGGCAAGCGAATTCTCTCCAAGGTGCACACGGATCGATGCCTAGGTACCGGCGTGCATATCGACGAGCGTTCATCGTGGCCGCACCAGAAGAAAAGAAGAAGAAGAAAAAAACCTCGATGGTTTCAGGGGTCCAGAACAAGCAAGGCACAGTGGATGCCGGGCTCTTCCTGACTGACAGACGTAGGGATACGGGCAGCTGGACCGTGACGGACAGAGGGCTGGAGACGTTGAACTTTCAAGGTGCTCCGTACTCCGTACCGACCATGACACAGGTACGGAGTACCTCGTGCGTATCCGTACGCAGGATGAATCTGTAGAGTCAAAAGATACATCGAAAAGTACAGACAGACACGGGAGAGCGATGCACGGATTGGCTAGAGCTTTTGTACATGTCGAGCCCATCATCAAGTCCCACCTTACGTAAGGCGGCTCCCCAGTTTCTTGGATGCAATGGGAAAACCCGAAAACTTCCAATGTCTTCAACCCAGCTGATCTGCTCGTGCAAACTCCTTGACTCTGCCGTCCGTCATATCTGCCCATTGCGGGCGCCGCCGCACGTTCGCTTCTAGCGCATCTGCGCCAATCGAATGCAGTTTTTGTATCACCACTGCCAGTGACCAGTGACCTGCCTCCGTGCTCCGGCATCTCCCATCCCTCCTCCCCCCTTTCGAGTGACTTGATCCCGCTACGGATACCCATCTCCACCTCACCGGTCGGAGATCAGAAGAGACACGCAGGCGGGAGGCCCAGAAACATTCCCAGTCTTGTGAACCTGGTGGCTGTTTCTGGCCCCCAGCATTGTTCCACGACCCAAGGTGCACAACTAAAGCAGGGCCAGACACGCGCGGAAGCACGCCGCAGAAACAGACTTGCCAGGCGTGCCAGGCTAAGGAGGGAAGATGAGACGAGCAACGGGACGAGTTCCCAGCAGCGCCAGACTATGCTTGTCTGGTGCACTGGGACCACTGGTGCTTGTGTGTGTTCTGACGTCTCCGCCCAACCGTCGTCTGTCTTGATTGCGGCACGGCTTAGCTTGTATGCACAAATCGATACGTACATGGCTTTCTTTCTCTCTTTTTGCCCCATACGGCCACCGCCCTGGAGGCTAATGCCGAGAGAGGGCCGCGCCTCTTGGGGCTGCAGCCCGCGCAGATGGGCAGCGGTTTGTCGTCTGTTTCCAATTCTTACCCGTCATGTACGTACCGCCAAACCTTGAATGAGCAAGGCAAGGTACGGTGCCGAGTGGGGGATACTAATCATTACACCAGCTGGGGGGAACGCTCGTGGTCGGAGTCGGACGAGACAGCCGGAACAAGCCTCTCTTGTCTTGAGGATTGTGGCCGCGCTTTGTTGTGTCAACGACGTATGTTTGACGACGAAATGCCACTGTCGTCGTCGATTCAAGCGTTCGTTGCCTTTCTCGGTACTCCTCGCATCCTGCGTTCTCTCCCCTCTACCAAGCTCTCGTCTGTCTGCCCGGAAAGGTCATCTCTTGTGTGTACGTGGCATTGCCCATCAAGGGGCCTTCCTGGCGGGAACCGCTGGTTGCGAGGCGCCATGGGTGGGTGTGGACAAGGATGTGATGGCTGCATGGCCTTCGATCTTTAATAGCTCCGGGGACTTCTTCAGGCCCCCCTGCCACCGCCTGTCTGTGAGCACTCACTGCTGGCCAGTCACACCGGCACATCAGGCCAAGCCGAATGGGACCTCGTTTTGTGGACAAACCCCATCCCGTCAACGTTGGCCGACGTTTTGTTGTTCGGAAACACCCCTGGGAATGGCAGCACGCTCTCACAGAGATCACCCTAGCACCCTGGCACAGACTCAAACGATGCCCATTCGTAGTGTATCCGTACTGGTGCTTGTGCTGTTTATTACCCGTTGCCATTTGCTGGTTGTTCGGATTTCCTGCTTCAATGGCGACATGCGTCGCAGCGCAATACCGCCGCAGCGTCTGGGGTAACAGGTATTGAGATGACGAGGGAAGGGGTTTGTCGGGCTTGAGCCGCTAACTGCGGACTGGGTATCGGGAAAGCTGGCATTCGTTGTAACGATGACAAGCGATCGTCTCGTTGCGAGTTGGGTGGCGACCAGTACTTCAGATTGACAGTTGTATCCTTCTCTGACATTCAGTAATGCCACTGCGAACGCAACGGCGTCTCTCCCCTAGCGGACGAAGTCGGCCTAGTCAAGTAAACGAGCGATCTGGCACCTTTTCTTGGTGGTCCTAGGGCAGCCCGTCCGAGGTTTGCGGTACCGTCCGAAGGCGTCCAGGGGCCTCTTCTCGAGTCAGTCTTGGCCGCCTGGGCACTGTGGCACTCTCACCAACGTGAGCCACAGCTTGCGCTGGGAAAAGGCAATCTCATCCGTCACAGCATTCCCCCAAGGGAATCGTTGAAATGGCCTTTGGTCATGGCTGTACCGAAGACAATAAACAACAACAAGGCTTTTTCCTGCCGAGAGGCTGGACGGGACGGTGGCACCTGTGGGAGAGGGCGGACAACGGCTTCTGACTGGCACGGCCGGGCTGAGCTGGCGTTCAACCGAACCAAGTGCCCTTGGAAGCCCTGCAGGGATGGAACCACGAGATCTCCCCGTTTCGACCGCATCGAGGACTCGTCGTACCCACCAGTGGAACACTCCCACGCCCCCCTCTCAGCCCGTTCATCGCCTTGCAGATGAAAAAACTCGGGGCCCTGTTTGTGCTGCTGCTTGTGCGCCGCACCTTGCCTCTCATGTGTTGTACTCCATCTGTTGATCCGCCGCAAGTCGAAATTTATCGCAGGATTCCTACTGCTGTAGGACAATCCCAGACGTTGATATTGGCAGTCAGAGACACATCGTTGAGAGAACTTGAGGCACGAGAGGGAGTCTCGAGGGAACGTGGTTCTCAGGTACGTACCGCAACCGGGGAGAGAAGCTGCCCGTGTCAATTTTGCTGGGAACCCGCCAAAATGGACCACGGGATCCAATCAGTCCCGTCTGCAAGGACCGTGCGCCAAGCTTCCAGCTCTTCCCCCTGTCGGGACTAGCTCACCTCTAATGTCGGTATGACTATTAATCCGTTCAAGGGACCCACTGAAACGACCCCGGGACGCCTTACCAGTCACGTCCAAGTGTCCCCTTGTGTGAGGCTCCAGGAACCAGATATCTGAAGGGCAAAAAAAGCGAGCTTGCCCAACTCACGATCCCAACCTGGATGAGCTGTTGACGACCTCCTCCTCGAACGGAAGCTGTCCAAGATGCCGCCCCGAATCAACATCCCGCCGGTCACCCGGGTCCTGCTGGCTGTCCTCGTCGTGCAGTCGTTTCTGAGCGCGGCGATCCGCTATCGTCAATGGAGCGCGACATCCGAGATCGTGATACCGTACCTGACGCTCATCCCTCAGCTCTCCCTTATTTATCCGTGGACGTTTTTGACCTCAACATTGGTCGAGAACAACATCTTCACTCTCGGAATTGCCGGCGTCACCATTTACCAAGGCGGTAGATACCTCGAGAGAGCTTGGTCTTCAGCGGAGCTGGCCAAGTTTGTCGCCGTCACGGCGCTGATTCCCAATGTCCTGACCTTTGCGCTCATGATCATCTTCTTCACCCTGACAAGGAACGAGCGTTGGACGTAAGTGAATCTTCGCCTTATGTGTCTGCGGCTAGCAATACTAACGAAGCTCTTGACAGACTGACCGTTATTGGCGGCACGATCCCGATGCAGATCTCTTTCCTCGTCGCATTTAGCCAGCTCGTCCCGGCGCACACCGTTACTCTGTTCCGCGGCATCCTCTCCCTTCGAGTTCCGCGATTCCCTCTATTATATCTCGGCATCGTCTTTATTCTGTCTCTGACGCCGCTTTTGACGGCGGCCTCTTTCTCCCTTGCTCTGAGCGGCCTGCTAACGAGCTGGACATACCTCCGCTTCTACAAGACCGTCTTCCCCGACCTCGACTCTTCTCAGCCGACTTCCCTCCGCGGAGACGCCAGCGAGACGTTTGCATTTGCCGAGTTCTTCCCGGCGCCGGTGAAGCCCTTCGTTGCCACCCTTTCAAACCAGATCTTTGAGGTGCTGGTGGCGATGCGGATATGCAGCCCCTTCTCCCCGGACAACGTCCCGTCCGGACGAGGCAACAACTTCATACAGAGAGGCGCACCTGGTGGTGCGAGAGCCGAGGCGGAGCGGAGACGAGCGCTGGCACTGAAGACGTTGGATCAGAGGCTCCACGCCGCCACCGCGGGCACACCGGCACGATCTTCGTCACAACCTCCGGCGCAGCAGCCCACGGGTCCGACGGTACAGACGCAGCCGCAGCCCAACACGCAGACGGCTATGACTACGCAGCCTACTGCGATGCTGGGGGAGACCAACTACCACCCCGAGCAGGAGTCGAGCGATAAATCCGCATCGTGAGAGGGAGAGAAGGGGGAGAGGCACACACACTTCGCTTCGACTAGAAAATCGGTTTACTTTCCTTTCTTTCTGGCCAGGTCTTGAGCCGATTTTGGACGATTGGACTAAACGGCGACGGCGCCGTTTCATGGCTGCGGCCAACTGTGTACTCTTATGTGTTGATCCTGGGGGAAACTTTTTTCTAATTCGGGTATTTTCTTCCTTTTGTTTGGCATCGGCGTCTAAAGACGGATACCTTGAGTGCGCGCGTGTGCGTGTGTAAAGCGGTATGAGCGGCGATCCAGGATTATGACAGCGACGGCCTGGGCCTATGTAGTGGTCTAGAGCTTCTAACCTACTACACCCCAATGGGCGTAAATTCGGAATGATGTATGTTATAGACTTACAAAGCCTTCGCTTTTCGTTCTGTCATCAGAGTGCTTAAAATCGGATGCATGTCCGCGCGCACTTCACGAAGATGATTTTCCCACGTGCTGCGTCATGATGGCCAACGACGTGCTCCACCAGCAGATACCACCCGAAACAAGATCTCCAATGGTGGGAAGGGGCGTCATCCACTAGGATCCGATTCTTCGGCGCCGAAGGACCGAAGAGAGGGCGTTTAGAGCAAGGTAAGGTATGGAGTGAAAGGACGGGGACCTCGTGTGAGATGGGTAGGTATTTACCCTCGGACCTAAAAGTAGCTGGAGTCATGGTGGCCGTCCCCGTTCCGTATGCACCCTCGGACAGTGTTCGTTTGCGTACCTTGTATTAGTCCCAACTCCGGGGTGCTTTTCTCTTTTGGAATGTTTCCTTGACGGGACTCCTTGATTTGCCGTCTTCTTTTGAAATCTCATTCGTTCTCTTGGTCCTCGGACCGGTATTCGGTAGTGGTTTCTCTCACCGAGTGTTCACTTCAGTCCCCCTTCCCTTTCCTTTTTTTTTTCTCTTTTTTCTTTCTTTGGCGTCTTTGCGACTGACACGCGCGATCACCGGTCCGTGAGCGTACGGGGGCCATTCGTGCCGGGGCGCGGACGGAACCCGCCATCCACCACCCACGGGCCCACCCCATGCCAAGGTACTAAGCAACGGCCTTTACTCCGTACAAACCACGGTAAAGCATCCGTACCTGTGGTAGTTTACAAGGTGTTCAAGGAAAAGCAATACAGCAAAGGGGAAACTTTGTGCGCGTAAATATTGTGCGAGGCCTATATAAGACTACGGAAAATTCTGAACCACGTCCCGGTTCCTGCTTGCTTGACATGTTGGCGGCCAGGACGCTTAGGAGTGAGGAGGAGGTTGTGTGTGTCCCTTGGTT